CTAACACATACACACACACATACACATACACACACAAAAACACCATAACCAAACGGGCGAATCTCAGAACCCTCTGGGTTTTTTAGAGTTCGCCAGAACACGACCGCTGCCAACCTGAATGGTGGCAGAGAGAGAACCGGGCCACTCACGCGAAAGCCATATTTTCTTCCTTGTAGACGTGTCTGGTGGTGCTCGCGCCGGGACCAAATCGGCCCTCACGCCGCGGCAGTCTCCCGAATACGAGGTCGGTCCTTCATCATCATTCACATCACCTGCGTGGTTCTCACGATTCAAGAACATTATTGGCTGATTCTGGTATCCCATGCTGTCTTTGGCTGCCGCAGGAGGATCAGGTTGATTATGACAATGACGATGAATGAAAGGCCTTTGAGTGGAGCGCGAGTTCGGTTTATGTTATGTTTCTTTGCTCGGATGGAAATGTGCGGCACAAGATATGGGACGGTTGGATGCAAGAGAGGACAAGTCTTTCCAAGGTGCAACGTCTGGGTCAGAGAAAAACAAAACAATCACAAAGAAATCACAATCTTGACTGGCAAAGGGCCTGAAGGCGTTTTGGGGGAGCTCCGAATGTATTATCAAGGAAATTGGCTTGCCTGCGCTGGACGAACGAAACAATTGGGAGACGCAGCACAAGACGTCGGGGGAGTTGCTTTGGTCATCTTTATTCATCTGCTTGCACGGCCCTGTAATCATCATCATCCTCATCATCATCTATGGCACCATGAAGCAGCTGCGCGCAGTGGCAGGAAATATCAGCATCTCGTTTTTTTCTTTCATACTCATACATTCAGTTCCCAGCGTGCCTCGTGTCTGATTCATATCGCGTAACATCTCACAATCACTGTAGTGTACAAGGTTTCACTCACTCAACTCACTCCCTCTTCCACTGCTCAAACTCGTCTTCAAGATGCCCCTTGAGCTCCTTGAAGCGGTTCCCGAAATTCCTCCCGCAGCGCCAGCACACGAGATCCCTCTTCATGAAGCCCTGCTCCCTGGCGTCCCCCCTCCCGCGCCCGACGTCCTCCCTCGCGAGCGGGAAGTCGGCAATGTCCACCAGAAAGGGCGTGTTGAACGAGTTGTAGTGCTTGCGGTGCTTCATGCAGGGCGAGTGCATGTCGCGCGAGAAGACGTGGACGTGCATGTGGCCCATGCTGGGCACGGCGTGGACGCCGCAGCGGATTTCGGCGAGCCAGTTTCTTCCCCGGGGGAGCTGTGGCTCTTGTCCCGATTCATCGTCTCGTGACTTTTGTTTTCCTTTGATGTCTTCGTCTGCATCTTCTGGATCTTGGTTTGACTGTTGTTTGGATTCATGGTGGTGGTGGTGAGCTTCTCCCGCCTCATCGCCAACATCAACAAGGTCCGCCTCCTCCTCCTCCCCATTGAGAACAGCCTCCCTCCTCGCATCAGCCCGACTGAACCTGCCCAACCGTCTCTGCAGCTCCCCCGCAGCGAGCACCTTGAGCCTCTCCGTCTCAGCCCTCACTTTACCCAGAAACTCGACATCTTGAAGGGCCTCGAACGGATGCAGGAGTCTGTGTTGGGGGGACCGCGGGAGTAGTAGGATGTGCACCGTGGCCTTGGGGAAGCGGTCGTGGATGACGACGAAGTCGGCGTTGTGGTAGATGACGACGGAGGGGGGGAAGGATTCGGGGGCGTCGATGTAGGCGCCGAGGGCCATGCGGTTCTTGAAGGCGTGTGGCGGCCGCGAGGAGGAGCGGGGTTTGAGTGCTGATGAGGTTGGAAGGGATGAGGATTGTGGTGATGGTTGTTTTGGTTGGGGGGCCATGAGTCTGGCGACTTTTTCAAGAGGAAGAGATGGGTTTTTTTAGCCTTTATTTGCCCTCTTGTTGAGAAAACGATGGATGACGAGAGTTGGGAATGAGAATGCTTGAGAGTTGGTGGGATGGACGGGTTGTGAGGAGACGGTCATGAGGTTCGCAACCTACACGCATCCTGCTTGGTCCGCTTCGAAGGCGGTTCATCCTCTTCCTGCTGCTGCTGCTGCTGCATCCTCTTTATCCTGCCGATTCTGTGCTCACACAATAACCCGAGTTTGTCAGTTTTCCTCTCTTTGATCGAGACCAAGATGAGTTCGGCAGTAGTCAGGTAAAGAAGAAAGCAGAATACTAATTACCTGCTTACCGTATTGATGTGTATTGACGCCAATTGCGATGCTGGGAGACGAAACATGGAAAAAGACTGAGGGGGCACGTGAGGGTCGAGGTTGAGTGAGTTGAGTTAAGTTGAGTCGATGGCTTGAGGTGTCCAAGTGCTGTGGCGATTGCATGTGCTGGTGCAAATACGAGTAGTACTACGCTGGCCTGGCATGTGCCTGAATGGGCAGCCCCACAGCACGGCCATGGCTTCACTATGCCATCATACAACACTCGACTGTAAGCCATACAACCGATTGGCTTCATCTTGTCATTCTCATTCTTCATCCAAGCTGCCTTCTTTTCGTCCAACGAGTATAAGAGACCAGTTGCGTAGTATCACGGCCATTCACAGTCCCCCTCGGGCCTCTCTATAGTATTGTAAACACCCCCCCGTAATAAGAGGCCAAGGATCAACATCTTCAACTCTGGCAATCACGCATCCAGCCCGTTCAGCTCAATCATCTTAATCACCAGCTTGATAATCTTGCTCCCCGCCAGATCCAGCCCCGGATTCTCCACCTTGTCCGCAATTAGATTGTCCACCATGGCCCTCAGCCGGGCCACCAGCACGCCCAGGCGAGCCCAGCCCCGAAGCTTGAGCCATCCGTCCACCAACAGGCCGCGGCCCAGCGTGTCGAGCTCGATGGGCCCGCAGAACATGAGCAGCGTGTACGCATTCAGGGCTGATGGCGTGTCAGTACTCAAGAGGAGTAACAGAAAACAACGGGCAGTAACAAAGTAGCAAGAATGGAAGAAAAGTAGCAGAAACCAGGAGAGGCAAAACTCACGAGTCAGATCCCGAATGAAAATCTTGGTCGTCGAAATCATGCTGAAATACGACATGTACGCCGCATTCCCCGAAAACCCCTGGCTCCCAAACAGCGTGCTGCTGGGGTGCACAAACACCCGCCCGGGCTCCTGGCAAAAGTACTTGATGGCCCTCGCCTCCGGATCCAGCTCCACGGCGCCCGACATGGAGCTCGCAAACTTCTTGTCCGGATACTGGATCCGCGCAATCTGCGGCGTAAAGGCCGAGGCCACCAGCGCCCTCAGCAGCAGCGTGTTGCGGGCACCGGGCGCCTGGGAGGAGGGCGTATGGATCCCAATCTCCGTCAGGGCGTCGTAGTACTGGCTCCTCGTGTTGGCAATGTCCGTCAGCGTCTGGAAGGACAAGGAGTTGTCCTCGCAGAACCTCCGGATGTCGCGCTGCGGCGTGCCTCGATCCCTCATCATCTCGTCCCACTGCGTAAAGGCCTCCAGGTCGGTGAGAGGGTCGCCGTCTCCCCTGTAGAAGCGCATGCGGGCTTCCCGCGCCTCGTCACGCTTCTCCTGCGGCGAAACGAACGGGCTCCGGGTGCTCAGGATGGCGGCGATGGTGATGCAGTCGTCCAGGCAGCCGAAGATGGCGCCAAAGACCATGAGCTTGCCGCATCGCAGGTCCGCCGGCAGCATGGCCAGCTGCTGTCCCATGGCCGTCAGCTCGTCTCCGTCCAGAGCCCCCATTCGCCGCAGCAGCGTCATGGCGCCCTCAATCGCCGGCGTTGCGGGCGGAGTGGGCGACCGGCCGAGGAACCGGATCACGTCCTTCATTCCCATGGCGCGCACTGACAGACAAAGCTGCTCCAGAGGCACGCGCCTAATCTCGGGCTCGGGTCGAGGCGCCATATTCTGTTCGAGATTCTGCGTGTAGAGCTTGAAGCACTTGCCCGCTTGGACACGGCCGGCTCGGCCCTGTCGCTGCTTGCATGCTGCCTGGGATGCCCATGTTTCTTCCAGCTTCCTCATGTTGTTCTGCGGGTCGAAGCTCGTCTCCTTGACCTTTCCGCTGTCAATCACGACCACAATGTCGTCAATTGTGATGGACGTCTCTGCCACGTTCGTAGCCACGACCACTTTTCGTTTACCGGGAGGAGGGCTGGAGAATACTCTCTTCTGCTCCCTGGTCTCGAGCGAGGCATGCAGTGGGAGGACGTGGAGTGAGCTGATGGATCGGAGACTGTTGCAGGCTTGGTTAATCTCCCCAACGCCGGGCAAGAAGATGAGGATGCCGCCCGTGTTCTTCTCGTACGATAGCTCGTAGTCGATTGCCTTGACGGCTTCGGTAATCAAGCTGTAGTTGATCCGATGGCCCAATTTCTGAATCACCTTGCCCATCATCTCGTCGCCGATGAAGATTCCGTCGTCAGGCCCATCCACGCCAAAGCCCGTCATGCGAATCACGTCGTCGAGGTGATACTCCTCCACGGGATACGTCCGCCCTGCAATTTCGACGGTTCCCACGCTCAGTCCTTCGGTTTCAAAGTAGCTCTTGAACGTGGCCGCATCAAGCGTCGCCGACATGAGCACCAGCTTCAGCATATCCTTCTTCTGAATCATGACCTCTCGAAGCAGGTTCAGCAGGAAATCAGTGTCCAGACTTCTCTCGTGCACCTCGTCGATGATGATGTGACTGACATCGGCCAAGGACGCCACAACGTCGTCCACTCGGCCGCCGGACGTCTGCAGCCGCCGGAGCAGCACGCCGGTGGTGACAAAGGTGATCCTCGTATCCCTCGACTGCCGAGACTCGCCGCGGATCGCATATCCGACTTCACCTCCCACTCGCGAGCATCGCTCTTCGGCCACTCGGTCAGCCAGTCCCAGCGCCGAGATTCGACGCGGCTGGGTGACGATCATGTTTGCACACCCGCCAAGCCCCCTTTCGTAGAAGTCGTCCAAGAGAAACTGCACAGACTGTGTCGATTTTCCTGAGCCTGTCTCGCCGCTGATAATGGTGACGTGGTTCCTCTGGACCGTCTGCACAATGGCATCCTGCATCTGCCAGGCTGGCAGGGCCTGGCGTTTCGTAATCATCTCCTTCTGTGCCGGGCTTTTCTGCCGACGAAGCCACTCGTCCTTGCTCTTGGCGTCGAAAATCCATTTGAGAGCCCTTGGTGGAGGCCGAGAGCGCTTACTCCTCGCCACAGACGTCGCCGGTCGAGTCTCGGAGGCAGCAGAGGAAACGGCCGATATGTCCAGAAGCTTGCCCGGGTTGGCGATGATGCCGTTGATGTTGTGCTGGATCCAGTCCACCACGAGGTAGATCTTGGCGGGTTCGTCCTTTAGGTCCTCCTCAATGTGTGCCAGCATCCGCTTGACTATGCTGAGCTTGATGTACGAAGGCAGCTTCGCAATGATGGCGAGGATGAGGTGCCTCGGATAGCTCGAGCCCCTGCGGACCTGTAGAAAGGTCTCCACGTCTCCGTTCTGCGCATCCTTGACCGACTCGAGGCGGATCTGGATGATGCTATCTCCCTCTCGACGGAAACTGTTGCCGTAGATGGACTCCAGCGTCGCCACTTCTTCGTCCCATTGCTCCTGGGGCGTTCCAAAGTCCAGAAAGTCGCCCCCTGACTCTTCAGCCCCTTGTTGGCCCGAGGCTGACGTTGGCAAGAGGATACCCTGCAGCGCCTCGGCAGCTGCGTCTTCATTGCCGCCGTGGTCATCCAACACGCGGGTGCACAGCTCGACCGAGTATCCCGTCTGAGACAGGCGCTGAATGGTGCCCTCTCTCTTGAGGTCTGTCGTTCCGATGGTCACGCCAGCAGAGTAATTCTCCGGCAGAGCCCACCGGGGGAGATCGTCCTCGGGAACGTGAATCAAGAGCCACTCGAGCGTTTCCTGGCGGTCCTTGCAGTATTCCACAGCTTCCGCCACGTGGCTCTGCCGGAAGCCTAGCTTGCTGAGCTCGGCAACGACGCTCTTCTTCTCGGCCGGAGGCATGGTCACGCCATGAGGGTTCCACCTCACGCCGTCTCGTAGCAGGGCCTCCAGCTGGATCCTCGTCTGCCTGCCCATCTCGACCTTGGGCACGGATGTCCACCCCTTCATCGCGTTGGAGACGGATCCGCTGCCCGCGTTGCTCAGAAGCACGAGGCCCGCCGCGCCGGGAAGCTCCCTGGCCTTGGCCTTTGCCTGCTCGACCTCCCTGCGCTTCTTCTCCGCCGCCGCCTTGGACTCCTGCCGCTCGAGCAGCGCCCGGAAGGGGTCGGCCTCGTACATCCAGGCCTTGCCGTCCTTGACGTCCTGCGCCTTGAGCGCCTGGAAGTCCTTCCACAGCGCCTTGTAGTCCGGCGGCAGGACGGTGTGCTTGTTCTGCATGCTGCACACCCGGAACAGCGCGTACGTGGCGGCCGCGTGCTTGGCCTCGAGCGCCGTGTCGCGCAGCAGCAGGTGCTTGTGCGTCGCCGGGATCTCGAACGGCTCCAGCGTCGTCGTCTGCTGCGTCTTGGGGTCCCGCGCGCTCAGCGTCACCCACACCGAGAAGCCCTCGGCCGTCTTGCGCGTGTCGTACACCGGCCTGTCCCACTTCTGCTTCTGGCAGTGCTCGCTCAGCAGGTTCACCGGCAGCTTGCCCGTCCACGACGAGCCCCCGATGAGCTGCTTCACCGTCGGCTTGGGGGCGGCCGCTGGCGGCGCTTCGGGGGCGGCATCTGATCCTGCTGCTCCCTTCTGGCCCTTTTGTCCCTTTTTGCCCTTGCCGCTTGCGCCTCCGTTTCCATCCTTGGATGCTGCAGAGGCTTGGCTTGGTGTCGGCGCGGCGGCCTTCACCTTGCCCTTCTTTACCATGCTATATAGATCAAGTGAGTTGTTGGTTGAGCCGCCAACAGGTGAAGGGGGGGAAGCAGGAGATGGATGTCGCCTCTTCAATATCCCTCGCAAACAGAGATGGCGAGCTGATTCCACAGCAGATATGTATGGCGGAATCAGATTCAAGAATAAAACAAGAGACGTGCACCCGCTGAGAGATCTCTGAGCGGTCCTCCCTGTCCCAACAAGCTCGGCCTTGTATTACATCCTCAACTTTTTCTCTCCATTCGCCCAAAGTGATTCGGGCGATTTTTTTATGGGGCTGAGATCAGGCTCGCAAAGTAGCGCACTGTGTAGGTCAGATCCAACGGCCCCTTGGAGACTGGATGCATGTGATGCCTGCATGAGCATTGCTGTTGCAGGGGCTACACGTCGGGTTGTATCTCCAAAACGTGATATCAATATGTGAGTAGACTGCAAAATAATCATAATCAAGACCATCATGATTTCCTTCTCTCGTGTGCTGCTTTTCTCCCTCACCAAACCTGTTATCTAAGCACTGTCCAAGCACTGTATCATACACAGTACTACATCTCTGGGTCATTGCGTCTGCAGGACAAACGACAGATGCGATTCAACGACAAATCTCAAGGCACAGGAGTCACTTCTTTCCCATGACTCTCAACCACCATGGACTTCAGAATGTGATAATCTGCCTCTTATTTTACTACCTGTATGCGCAGATGAGAGATGCACAAACACTTGATTGTTGCACCAAGAGCAGTCTCTTTTCTTCAACGACTCTTCCAACAGAAGCCCAATGCACTGGCACTGGCTTCTCTCTGCCGTGTCGCCTTGATATATGTCATCAGGCTACCGGACCCAGACACACAAGCAGGCGGCGAGGCGGGCAGGCAGTTGACAAGGGGGGAGGAGGGTCAAGCAGGCGTCCCTGCATGCTCTTCAACGGCAATGGCCATCTAGACCCGGATCCATCAAAACTTTTGCCCAATGTTTTCCTGCTTCACTCAATTGGACTGCTCCATCCTCAATCGCGGCATTTCCTTTCTCAGGCTGGAGCTTTCAAGCTACCATAGGGCCTGCTTTCTGGCTGGGCAATTTTGCTTCCTTCTCTCTTCCTCTTCTCTCCTCGCATAAATTGCCAAGCCAAATTAGGGGGGTAGGGGGGTTTAGTGTGTGTTGTTGCCAAGGGTTTTTTGGGGGGTTATAGGCAGAGCTATGAATAAACGAAGTGTAGTCTGCTGCTCGTGTTGATGACAATAATGTGGGGGGTATGCGAGAAAGGGGGCTGTGATATTGGTATTGGCAACCAACTCTGGACACCGGGCAGTCTTCCGGCTTGATGCATTCCAGATCCCAGGCATCGTAAAAGGTCATGACAATAGAGTGCCGACTTCTTACATGTCCATGGAATCGCCTCCGTTGGCAAAGTTGAACCCGCCAGACTGCGCACCACCATTGGTTCCGAAGCCAAAGGTGCCGTTGGCCCCGGTGGGCTGAGGGGCGCCCTCGTCTGCGTTCTCCTCCTCGTCGGAGAAGTACTTCTCGATGATGTTGTACGCCTTCATGTAGATCTCTTCGTTGGCGTTGTTCTGGCAGTCGTGGATCTTCTCCATGCCACCGCACTCCTCAATGAACAGCGCATAACGGTTGATAGAGTCGGCGCCTTCACCCGCGGCCTGTCGGTCCAGATCTCCTATCTTGAGGATGTTCTCTAGGCCGTCGAGGGCAACCTGAATGATCTTGTTGTCGGGGCATGCAAGGAGGTCGCACAGGGGCTTGATGCATCCTTGAGAAACAAGGTATCGGATCTGCTCCGGCTTCTGAAGTCCACCAGACGTGGCGTTGCTGATAGCCCAGCAAGCTTCCTTACGAGTCTTGAGATCGCCGTTTTGCAGAAGGTGAATCAGAGGGGGGATGATGTTAGCGTCAATCACAGCCTGGATCTGGGACGAGTTTCCGGCGGTGATGTTGGAAATGGTCCAGCAGGCTTCCTTGCGGATGCCATCCTTGGTTGAGCTGAGGAGCGACAAGAGGCATGGGAGAGCGCCGCAGTTGATGATGACCTGGGTCTGGACGTCGTCGCCAGTCACAATGTTGCCGACAGATCGAAGGGCGGGGGTCTGCACCGAGGTGGAAGCGTGCAGGAGAAGCTCAACAAGCCTGCGGGGAATGCCGGCTTCGATGACGGCCTGAATCTTGTCGTTGGAGCCGTCAGAGAGGTACGAGATGGCCCAGCAAGCATCGATCAAGACCTCATCATCAAGGGAGTAGACGAGCTTGGCCAGGACGGGAAGAGCGGGAGCGATCTGTGAACGACAGTGTTAGAGAGACTTGATAAGAAGCAGAAAGAGTCAATGAGTAGCTGTACGTACCGTGTTCCAATCGGGCTGCGGGGTCTTGCCACGGCAGAAGTTGCTCAGAGTCCAGGTTGCGTTGCGGAGCATGCTGAGCTTGCGGCTGTCGCCGAGCAGGGCCAACAGAGGCTTGAGGGCGCCGCAGCTCAGGACATAGTCGCGGCAATGGGGGCTGTCGCCGGCAATGTTGCCGAGAGCCCAGACGGCTTGCTCTCGCACGTCGGGTTCAGGGCTGCCAAGGAGCTCGACGAAGATGGGAACGGCGCCGGCCTCGATGACGACCTGGGTCTGGGTAGCCGAGCCGGAGGCGATGTTGGTAAGGGCCCAGGCGGCTTCGAACTGCACCAGGGTGTGGGGTGATCGCAGGAACTCGACGAAGCGGCTGACGACGCCAGTCTTGATGACCTCCTCGATGGGAGGGTTGCGCTCCTTGGACAGAAGCTTTCGGAACTTGGTGGTGGCCTGGATTTGCTGATCGATTTGGTCGGAGAAGACGCCAGCAACCATCTGAGGAAGATCCTCGTTCAGCTGTTGATGTCATGTTAGCAGTGACTCTCTGAAGGGCATCATCGTTATCATCAATATTTTCTCCCGCCGCAATGCCGAGTTCAGCATTCCTGCTTTCCGGCTATATGGAACAAGCCTGCAAAGCAGCTGATGTGCAGCAGCTGCCAGCCAAGTCGGTCAGAGCGCCCGCCACCAAGGATGTGGGGTTCAGTCAGAAATCCCCCACATCACAAGCAAAAGCACAGCATCACAGCAAAGGGCTGCTGCAATGCAGACGGACGGAGCGCCGTGTGAGGGCATCGCGGCGGGCAGACGGCAGAAGAGGAAAGGCTTGAGCTGTGCGTACCTGAGACTCGGTAGGGGCAGACTCATCGTCGCTGTCGGGGGCGGCGCCGAGGGAAGCGCCAGGGCGGCTGTCGCCAGTGCCGATGCCTCGTCGCTTTGCTAGGTTTTCCTCGCGCTTGGCCTTGCGGATCTCGACCTGCTGCTCCTCGCGGCGGCGACGGAGCTCGTCAGGCTTGAACGTGTTCTTGGCCTTGAACTGGGTGCGGCGATGCTCTGGGATGTATCGGTCCGCCATGGTGCTGACGATGCGCTGCTGGCCAGCAAGACGAACGGCAGAGAGTGACAAAGAGCAGGGATAGTCAGACTGAGCGATGCTGCGCGGGGGCGATTTGAGGATGCCGGCGATGGCACCGTCGACGAGGGCTGCTGTTGGATCAAGGTGCGTCCCTGCTATTCCGGAGCAGTTGTGCAGATGGGGAGGAAAAAGTTCTGGCGATGAGAGGGAGGGGAGGGCTGCAGGCTGGGGCAAAGCACAGGTCAAAACTCAGGTGCTGGGCCAGGCTTTACTGCCCGTTCCGGGCGGCCAGGACGCTGAAGCCGCCGCTAAAAGCTCTGTCGCAGCCGCCCGGATGTGATGCCTAAGGCATCAGGGTGGCACGGCTGAGCTAATGGTGGCATGCTGCTGCCCGTTATCGTCGAGTACTTGCTTGGGACGCGCGGTTAGTGAGCGCCGCTGGGTAGACTGTGTTAGTGGTTGCAAGCCACCCGCCGCCTGTCATCCAGCTTGATTCACTCCCTGCGACGGAAGCAGGGAAGACAGATTATGTACATGTCTCCCGTACCTATTGATTATTGTGGATTTGATATAAATACTAGTACTAGTAGTAGATAGATAGCAGAAAATGAATCACTTTTGCCCTTGGTATGTACGACATCCGCTCAACATGTCAACGGCTGGACAAGATACATGAGGCTTGTATTGATACCGAGGGCCCCTCTCCCCATCGCCATCACGTGCTCTCGCGCCTTGCCAACAGCTCTTCCTCACACAGTGCTCCCACTTACTAAAGCAGACGCCTCTATCAAGACGCGGTTTCATCGCCTTCACACGCGTTCCTTGTCATCCAATCCGCCAATCGCTTGTCTGCGGCAGTCGAGGCCTCCTGGCCGATATGCACTGTGCCGAATAGCCTCCCAATTATGCTTCAGACGAGGCTGAGCCTTCCAAGCGCTTAATCGACGCCATGCTCAACAATGGCTCCCCACGTCAACAAGCGGCAGAACTCTCTGCCCAGCGGCTTCATCACGGTCCGAGACATACTGGACCGCAAGCGCGGAGTCGGAAACCTCCTGAATGTCATTGGCGTTGTCAAGGACTTTAGAACCCCTGTTCCCACCAGAGGGACCGGTAAGCGTTCAGTTGCTCTCCGCAAGTTCAGGGCTGCGATATCTAAGTGCCTGTCTTGTCTCCAGATTGGAAGTGTGAGATCAAGCTGTTTGATCGTTCTATTGAAGATGCATCCTTCGACGCCATCACGATCAACATCTTTCGGCCAGAGAGTGAGATGCCCAGTCCCAACGTCGGTGACGTGATTGTGCTCTATCAAGCCAAGGTTGGGCAGTCCTTTCTGTTGAACACGGTAGTTCGACATTGCTAAGTATAATGCCAGCTGCAATCTCACGCCAACGAGCTCTCGCTGGTGACGCACCGGACCACCGACATTCATCTGTACTCGTCAAGTGAGATTCCACGTCCGTCAGAGGGGGCCTTACAGGCGTTGCGCCCTTTGTCCAGAAAGACAGCTCATAGCCCTGGACAGGTCGTGCATGAGTATGTCTCACATCTCTATCATTCAATCGACAAGAGCAGTCTTCCGACTGAGGCCGAGTTCCAGGACATGAAGGCGAAATCCGCCATCCACACAGGCAAGTCCAAGGAACTAAAGGACGTCCGGGATGGCACCTTTGCCGACGTAGTAGTTCAACTGGTCAGGCAGCCATACGACACCGGTGACAGAGTCACTCTGTGGGTATCAGACTACACTGAGAACGACCACTTTTTCCACTTCACGTACAAGGGGCTTGATGCTCTCCAGGGACAGGACAGCTATATTGCTTCGTTGCCCTATGGGGCCGGAGCCGGCGGCGGCGGCGGCGGCGGAGAGTGGAAGGGGCCTTTTGGGAAGCGAAGCATGCAGGTCACCTGCTACGATCCGCACACGTCGGTAATCAGGGAGCAGGGGCTCTCTGCGGGTTCTTGGGTACTGCTTCGGAACCTTCAAATCAAATTCGGGCGCAACGCCGCCAATCTCGAGGGTTTCTTGAGGGAAGACAGGGGGTCGTCGAGTCAAAAGATCAACATCCAGCAGATGGACGTCAGAGATACAGACGCTCCTGATCCCCGCCTGAAGGAGGCCATCCGCCGCAAACGCGACTATGAACGGGAGAAGAGAGACCGCCTCAAGGATTTATCCGACGCAGCAATAGCCGGACAGAAGAGGAAAAGCCAGCTGGTCGAGATGGAGCCAGCATCAAGCGACAAGTCAAAGAAGTCCAAAAAGACCAGGCAGAGGAACAAGAAGAAGTCTATAGGACAAGATGAGCCGAGTGTAGTGCCTGCTACCGCCCCAGCCCCAACTACGTTAACACACGGTACGCGTCCCTGCCTTTTATTGTCTGCTATGCGATGTGACTAACTCAAATAGTGAAATGCGAAAATGAAGACAAGGCCATCAGCACCATTGACAGCATTCTAGAGCCCATGTATTTGGAAACGGACATCAAAGGCCAGCAAGTCAAACTACGGCTCCCCTTTGTGAACAAGAACTACCGAGCACATGTTCGGGTTGTCAACTTCATGCCCCCCGATCTCGAAGACTTTGCTCGGCCAAGGCGGGCCACAGAATACGACATGCTTTCCGATAATGAGGAGCCGGACCAGGACGGCTCAGAGTCCGGAGGAGAGTCAGCGGCGGACGATACCGCGACGCGGGTGTGGGAATGGCAGTTCTTCCTGGAACTGGAAGATGCGAGCCCTCACGCGATCAACCAAGGGGAGAGAAGAACCATCTGGGTCGCAGTGAACAACTTTTCTGCGCAGTGTCTCGTCAACATGGACGCTTCTGACCTGCGGAAGAATCAGCACGAGCTCGAAACTCTACGTCACCGGCTGTCCCTCCTATGGGGCGAGCTAGAAGAAAAGAAGACGCTGGAAAGAGAAAACAGACGCCGCCGCCGCCGGGCCGCTCTGGCAAACAGAGGGGCAAACCAGCCCCCCTCGCATAGCTCCGACGACGATGAGCGCGGCGCGGCGGCACAGATGCAGGTCGACGACGAGCCACCAGTGACGCAGGTCCGCACCATGCCGTTTGCATGCTGCATTCGCCAGTACGGGGTGGAGGTTCCCGAGGAGGATCCGCGCAAGGCTGATGCCGGTGAGGGAAAGAGGTGGCAGAGGATGTTTGGGCTTTTTGGAACGAGGATTGCGTATGACTGAGTAGGGAGTTGTTGAGAGCCTTGACAGGTTTTCTGTTAGATCTGAACAAGCTGCAGTTGAGTGGATCAGTCCAGCGTGTTGATGTTTTATGTACTATGATATAGTTACTCAATGAGGGCGTAGAAAAGAATTGAGACGCAATTCATTGACTGTCTGCACACCTCTTTATATCAATATGCCAGCATCCAGTGCCAACCAGATGGTCAAGCTTGCACCAATTCCATCTAGATCCCTCATCTGCCCTCATGATTCACCCCCCTTGGGCTTCATTCAAAAGAAATCAAAAATCAACCGAAACAGGGCGGAGAAAGAGAGAGAAGTACTGAATCGTAAATCTTAAACAGAATGATAGAGAGAAAATGAAGAGCATAGACGTAACGCGAAAGAAAAGTACAACAAGCTTGATACCCTGGCATTGAGAAGAAGGAAAAAAGACAACCCCCCCCCCCCTGAAACCGCCGTAGCATAGGTTGAATAAATCAAACAAACCGGTCATGTCCATCCACAACGAGAGACTTTTTTTTTCCGCATCCCTCGTTCCTTTTGTGTTTTCCTTTGTTTTTTTACCCTTATTCATTCAACTTCTCCTCATTTGCCTGCTTCCCACTCAATCTCCAATCACATCATCATCATCTGCATCGTCATTTTGCCTCTCCGCATCCTGCTGCTCCTCGTCCTCATCATCTTCGATAGGATCGTCATCCAGCAGGCCCCTCCTCCGAAGATCCTCCCTCGTTCCCTCTTCCGGCGCGGCATCCTCAAAGATGTCCTCCTCGTCGTCGTCGTCGTCGTCCTCATCGTGGACAGTCTCCGCGCTCAGGGCTGGCTTCTGCGGCTTTTCTGCCGGTGCCGTCGTCGTCGACTTGGCGGCGGCCTTCTTGCTGTTGCGCTTGCTCATCTTCTCCGCGTCGAGGTAGGCGACGACTTCTTTGAAGTTGTGGCCCAGCTTGGTCGCGTTGCGCTGCAGCCGCCGCTTGAGCTTGTTGACCTGGCCGCCCTTGGGATCGATGAGGTCCGCCGTGATGACGAGGACGTATTTGGCAGTCAATTCGCACAGGGCCTTTTCGGCCTTGAGTTCGGCGGCGAGCCGCTCTTCCTTGGACAGATTCTCGTCCTCTTCCTCGTCGTCAGAGGACTCTTCGTCATCGACAGGGTCCTCGTCTTCTGCGGGCTCGTTCAGTATCCTGTCCTTCTTGGCCTTCTTCGCATACTGCTTCTCAGCACCGTCGAAGATGGCCGTCAGTTCGGGAACGAGGCTGGACTCCATCTGCTGAACCAGAACCTTGAACTTTTCGCTGCCGCCCGGCCGAGATGCGGAACTTGACGGGCGAGCTATTACCGGGCGCAACGACGCAAAGGTCAGGTGCAGGTCGCAGAGGCTGCCGGTAGCGAACAGGCGGAGCTGGTCAATGGAAGCTCGAGAAGAGAACGTCGTGATCAAGTGCTTGCGGTAGGTTTGCCGCAGAACGGACAGGCTGTCGAGCTCTTCGTCGGCGATGCCGGAGCCCGACGTCAGCTGCTTGCTCAGGTTGCGCGTCTTCCACATGAAGTAAAACTGGCAGGCCTTAATTGCCAAAGTTACCACTTCGTCTTCCAAGTTGTCAATGTCGTCTTCCAGAGGCTCGAACTCTCCGCGGTGAACAATGTTGACCAGTATCTGGATCGCCGGAGACGTGGAATCACCCTTGGACGGCGCAATCTCGAGGTAGTCAACGCAGTCGGATATACTAGCCAGTTGGCTGATCTTTGTCAAGATGGTGGACAGCTCCTGGAGCGGTGCTTCTTCCAGATTACCTCTGGCGGAGAGCTCGCATGTCGTGTCAAAGCTGCGGAGGGAGTTGATGACCACTTCCCACAGAACGGATAGCTTGCTGTCAGTCAGTTCCTCCAGCTCTTCGAACTGCCGAGCATGCAACAAGGCAGCTGCTGCCTCGGCCAAGACCCTCTTGTCGTCGTGTCTGTTGAACTGCGTGATGACCTCATCGAGCAGCTTTTCGTATATGCTAGTGTCTTGCCGCAACTGCTGGAAAGAGTCCAGTTGGAGATAGCGCTCCAGCCGAAGGACGATGGCCGCCGTCTCAGGCTCGGCACCATATTTGCTCAGCAGTTTGGGAATGTTCGTGGCCAACTCCAGCGCCAACTCTTCCTGGGCGTCGGCTGCTTCGGAGCGAGGGCCACGCTTCTTGCTCTTGTCTTGCTCGGAGATTTGTAGCAGACTCGACTTGATGGCGGAGCTCAAGACATCAAGGAGTATCTTCTCTTCCACGGCGGTGGGGGCAACCGCCTTCTTGAATGCATCCTCGGACGGGTTGCTCTTCTTTGATTTGGATTTGGACTTGGTACTCGTCGTGTGGTCGTACAGGAGATAGCCGGCCAGGATCTGCCAGGACTTGACTTCCGGGATTCTGTCGTAGAGCACTTGAGACGCCAGAGAAATCCTCGTGTCGGGCATGGTGCTCTCCAGCAGGTCAACATCAAGCCCCACTGAGAGCCCCCCTGTCCGCTGAGTCTGCTCTACCTGGGTATCATAGATGGTGAGTGTTTCGGCCAAAGCTTTCAGATTGAGCCAGTCTTTCCTCGGGGCCTCGTAGATGTCTTCTCCAGCAAGATCCAGTTCTTCCAGGACATCGGAGCCACCCATTTGTTCAATCTTGCCGTCTATCGCATCGCCAACGCAGGCAACGAAGAAGCCGACCACGGCCTTGCGAACCCTGATCTCGCTGTCAAAGATGAGCCTCCCAATGGCGTCAATCTCGTTAGGCTCCAGGATGGCAGCCGCCCGCAACGAGTCAATAACCGAGATGGCAGCCACTCTGACCGACACATCAGCATCGACCGTCGCCATCTCAATAAGCCGGGGACGAAATCTGTCGATGAAGTGACCCAGCTGCTCCGCATCGCGTTTGAACAGTTTGTTGAGCTGCTTCAACACCTCCTGCCTCGTTCCCGCGTTGGTGTCAGACAGCATCCAGCCCAGATAGCGCAGGTAGCCGGGCTCAAGGAAGACTGTGGGCAGGTTCCAAATCCAGGTTCCGAGGGCCTCAACACACTCGACCCGAATCCTGGGATCGACATCACGGTACCGATGGACGAAGACGGTTTCAAAGAATGACTGGATAGCGTCGTTGCAGATCTTGCGATTGTTGTTGGCCTCGACCAAGCTGCGCTGGATCTCGTCGGCCTTGCTCTTGTTTTTGCCGCGCTTCGCAGCCTGCGCCTGCTGCTCAATGCTGGCGATGCGTCGGTCGAGGATGCTGGCGATGTCAACAAGCGCAGACTGAACCGCGAGAGAAATCGTCGTTGCCGTGTGGCGGAAGGGACGCAGCGGCGAAGAAGACATGCTGGCCAACCAAGCGTGGAGGTTGTCGACGAGATCGACATCCTTGTACATGACATCGGTCTCGTGCAGCAGAGTAACCAGGGCCTGGAAGAAATTGATGAGCAGATCTCGGAATGATCGAGTGGACTTGGCTCGGGCGATCAAGGGGTAGTCGACGATTTGTTGCTGCATAGGTAGTAGGTAGCTAGTTAGCCATGTTGCCATCTTTTATTGCTACTTGTCCTCCCACATGGAGCTGGTAGACTTGGACTTGACCACCAGATCTTCATTAACGCACCTCTTGATACACATTTTGCAGATCCACCAGTCGGTTAGGGATGTTTTCCGGGTCGCGAATGTCATCGACCGTCACCTCCAGGTCACAGCCGGCGCATCGCAGGATACAGTTGACGAGATCGCCCAAGGCAGCCGCATCGCTCTCTTTGTATGTCTCGAGCCATTGCTTGGCAACAAACTGAGCAGAATCGCCGGACGCAAAGATGTCGGCTGTGAGCAGAATAAAGTGCTAGTGTCAGTGGGGAAGCGATAGGAGGCCGGGGAAAGGAGGGAGAGAGCAGAGGGGCAAAGCTGGGAAAGCTGATGATCAGAGTCTCGACATACCAAACAGCCCGGTTCCCTTCTCTCCAGCGTCGATGCGGACCGTCTTCTTGGGCCGACTGGGGATGCGCGCAATGGTGCCCGACATGGCCGGCCGGGAGCCGTTGATCTTGGGCTTCTTGGTGCTCGGCTTCTTTGCGCGGCTGGTTTGCGCCGCCTTTCGCGGCTTCGGCGCAGGATGGTCCTGGTCGCTGTCGGCGTCGCTGGCGACATCGCTCATGTCCTCGTCCGAGGCGCCATCGCCGTTCTCGGCGCCCTCTCCGGCGTCGTCGTCGACCTCGTCGTCGTTCCGCTTGCGCTTCGCCGCCGGCGCTGTCGGCTCGGGCGCGTACTTGGTGGGAGCTTTGACGACGCGTCCGGACCGACGACGCGCCTCCGGCTCTGGAGACGCGGTTGCGCTGGCGTCCATTGTGTCGGGTCTAGCAGGGCGATTGTGCGCTGGATGGCTTCATGCGGCTCGAGTGCCAGGCCGGGCGGCAGCAGAGATGCGGGCAGATTGCGGCGAGGCTGAAGGATCTCTGGCGACGGACCGCGTTCGTCTTGTGTGTTCATGCAGCGGGTTGCTTCTGGCTGGCCATTTGCTTTTGGTTGGGGGTTTCGAGGCGGGCAGAGAGCAGCCCACTCTGGGGCCGGCTGAACGTCGGCAGTGCCTGGTCCTGGCGGCTCTAGTCCCGGCTGGGCAGTAAACCGACTGAGCTTGCACTTTGCGCGCATGAGCTGGCGGGACATGCGGTATCTTGCTGATAATGCTAGCAATTTCATCTTCAAATAGATTGGTCGCTCAGTTGTTCATCGGCGTTTTATATGGTAACATCTCGAGTGGTATGTGGGAACTGCGGTTGTGGGAGGCGATGCTGCTTTCTTCTTGCTACCGCTGATGGAGGAGATGACATGCGCTAGATACTGCCCAAGATAACCCTCACGAACCCCCATCATCTACCTACCTTACTACTCTAGTCACAGATAGATAAGCAGCCGCATCTCATGTATATCAACCCTTCAAATGCCCTCGTAACACGGCCACACAGACAATGACCGGACTGTCATGACGTCGCCGTTCCCCAAGTCAACGTCCCTCCCCGGTGATGGCCGCATCGTCGTGGGACGCCTCCCCGCCGGTGGCAGCGGCCTCGAGACCATCAGCTACCAGTACCCTCTGAAGCTGATCGCACCGTCACCCACAGTCGCCCAGAAGGCCGCCCTCGTCTTTCTCCTCTCCTATGGAGGCGGCCTGGTAGGCGGCGACGGCGTCAAGCTGTCTATCCACGTCCGCCGCGGAGCGAGCCTCAGCCTGGTCACTCAGGGCCACACCAAGATATTCAAGTCTGCAACGCCCGACATCGTGACCAGCCAGAGGCTGCAGGTGCAAGTGGATGAAGAGGCCGCCGTCTGCCTCCTCCCGGATCCCGTCCAGCCATTCGAAGACAGCGTGTACGAGCAGGCTCAGGTCTTCACCGTGGGCAAGCGGGCATCGCTGTGCCTCCTGGACTGGGTGACGCAGGGAAGGGCGGCGCGCGGGGAGGACTGGAGCTTCACGAGATGGACGGGGCGCAACGAAGTCTGGACACAGGGGGCCGACCCGGGACAAAGGGGGAGGCTGCTGATCAGAGACAACGTCATCTTGAGCCAGGATGCCAGCAAGGTGGCTGGTCTACAGCTGAAAGAGACGATGCACGGGTTGAGCGTCTTGGGGACTCTTATACTCACAGGGCCCGTCATGGCGTCTATGGGAGACTTTTTCATGGCCGAATTCGCCGCGCTGCCCCGGATAGGATCTCGCGACTTTCGATCACGGGAGGATCGAGAAAACGACTCTGGGGAGAAGCCGGAGTTTGAGCGGTGGCGAGCACAGAGAATCGAGATGGAGAGGCAGCAGGGCATCCTCTGGTCAGCGGCCCAGGTCCGGGGGTGTGTCATTGTCAAGTTTGGGGCCGCAACGGTGGAGGCTGGACGGTCGTGGATTGGCACAATGTTGGCGAGACAAGGGAGCATCGCCAGCTATTTTGGTGATGCGGCTCTCATGTGCGTTGGAGTTGGTTCCCATGAAAGAACCCACCAAGAGGAGTAATCAAAGCTCGCTTGCATACAAGAGAACCATCAATTTCTTTTACTGAGGCACTGAACTTCATCATCATCACGTACTCGTACAGCAAACCAGCTGGAGTTTACAGAGTACAGACACCCAACCAGCAACTTAAGCCCATTACAGGGGGGGTGTTTGTAGTATGTATGTATATTATTTCTCGGCCGTCGTCCCCCACCTGGACAGACAGTTGCAGCACTAAACCAGAGCCCCGCCAAAACTTTTGAATTTTCCATCATTCAAGACGGGAACTTGTCGCGACTCTTTGGCGAATTCAATCACCGCTCAACTCACACAGTCACAGCAATGGTTCGCGGGAGAACCACAGCCAGAGGCGTCCGGAGAGGCGGCGCCTCAGCCTCGTCACGATCCCAGCCCGACGCCGACGACTCGAACCACAGCCAGGAGCAACAGCCTTCGACAAGCAGCAGCGCGGCGCCGCTGGCAACCATGGGACTGCCAGAGTCAGGCGCCGAGCAGGGCGCTTCATCACAGCCCGCGGCCTCGACGGTCCGGAGGGGAGCGACATCAGCTCGGGCGGCGCGCGCAGCAGCTTCGACGGGGAGGTTCAGACCCAAAAACGTCCGACGAGACGAGTCGGAGCGAGACGCATTGGCCCAGCAGGAGCAGCAGAAGGCGAGCGAGAGGGCGGCAGAAGAGAGGCGCGCCAGAGGCCGGTCACGATTCCGCAGCAAGCGGAGTCGCGGCGATGCCATGGGGAGCAGGGGCGGCGCCTTTGGCCGGCCGGTAGCCGGAGCCAGCGGGCCGTTTTCATCAGGGATGGGAGGTCCAGGTACGTTGCTTGAGCTTTGGATCTATGCAGCGACGAAGTTGGGCATGTGTGTCGGCGATACTAACAGGTTCTGAAATACAGGTGGCCCAGCTGGCGGAGGCTGGTTCGGAGCGGGCGGCGGCGGCGGCGGCGGAGGAGGCGGCAGTTTCGCGAGATCCGGCAAATTCGAGGCCAAGTCCGGGTCAGGGTATGGATTTTCCGGCGAAGGGGGCTTCCGAGAAGCAAGAATCAACGCCGACAAACTGCACACGATGGCGCACGAGGGCGAGCTGGATAGCGAGGACGAGGCCATGCTGACTGCGCTGCAATCCCGGACGGGGAGCGTCATGCCCATGGGCATCCTCCGGCGAGAACACAAAGAGGCGCCCGTCGTGGTTGCGACAGCTGCAGAACTGGAGGCGGCGGAGAAGGCGAACGCGAACGCAGCGGGCGAAGAAGAGAGCCTCTGGGTGGATGGCGAAGGGTCATTACCGCCGGTTGACCAGCCTGAAGAGGGCGATTGGAAAGGAGGGGCCGCGAGGGTCAAGAAGGAGCCGACAGACGATACAATGGACTTGGACGTCGACACCAAACCAGCTACAGATGAGAAGAAGAAGCAGCAGCAGCAGCAGCAGCCTCTGGCCAGGGCGAAGGCCAAGAAGCCGGTTGCGCAAGACCCCGAGGAGAATATGATTCGCACAGACTTGAGCCTGCTGGCCAGCGAGCTCGGCGCCATCACGATCAACGGGGAGGGCGACGAAAAGGGCGACGAGACGGCCAACAAGGACGGCCGGCTGTATCTGTTCCAGTTCCCCCCGCTGCTGCCCCCTCTGAAGCAGGTTGCCGCGCCCCAGCCTCGCATCAAGGTCAAGGAGGAGGAGCAGCACGCCAGCGCCAGCCTGCACGCAACGCCGCTAAGCGGAGCCGCGACGCCCGTCGATCTCACGCAGCAGGGCGGCGGCGGCGGCGAGTCATCATCGGACGACGACGAGGACGAGGACGAGGAGGAAGAGCGCAGGCACGGCTTCCGGACGCAGGCGCTCTCCAACGGGGGGCTCATCGGCCGGCTCAACGTCCGGAGGTCGGGCAAGGTGGAGCTGGACTGGGGCGGCCGCATCCTGGAGATGAGTCCCGCGGCGGGCATGAACTTTCTGACGACGGCCGTCATCGTCGAGGAGTCGGACGAGAAGCCGCAGAACGGCGTGACGACGGGCGAGAGCATCGGCATGGGCAAGATCATGGGGCGGTTCGTGCTGGCGCCGATATGGAGCGAGGAGGAGGAGTGGGAGGTTGCGCCCGAGGAGCTCGAAATCCCGGATGGGAGTCAATAAAGACAAACATAACGAAGCATGAACAAATTCAGCGACGGCAATCGCATGACGAAGGGAATATATGTTATTGCTGGCCGTATGCGTTCGATGATCATTCTATCTCTCGTGCATATTCTCATCCCTTACATCGTTCTCTTCTTTCCTTCTCGCCGCGATATGCCCTCCCACCGCCGAGGAGCTTTTGCAGCTTGGAGGCCGTAAACTCCTATCCTACCTACTCACAGCCTTTGCTTAGCCGCACTGAATATTGAGAGTTGAGAGGATTTCTCGCTGACTTTGCGCTACTATCTACATTCTACTCGATAACGAGAACAACACACGATATCCAGGGCCCTCGTCGCTCTTGTTATTCCCATCTCTAAATTAGATACGGCTGGCTTCCGAAAGAAAGGCAGTAGTATTTCGGTCAGCCACGTTTGAGAAAAACAATGCCCTGCTGGTCCGAGCAGGCGGGAAAATGAAAGATCGATAGCATGTGTCAATTCAAATCGAGGCATAGGTAAGATTGAAGCATGCAGGAGAGTGACATACTTGCCCCCCCCCCCCCCCCCCCCCCCCCCCCCCTGTTTCTGTTACTCTTTGGATAAAGGGCGGGTTCCGTGCTCGGAGGTGTTGGTCAAGTTGTAGAGGCTACTTACTGAACGGGGGTGCAGAGAGCAGGTTCTGGTTTGAATGTCACTCCTGCTGACGCCTATGTGAAAAGTAGGAGGCTGGCTTGGGAGCGTGATGAAGCTGATGCTCCGCGAGGGTACATAGTCTACGATGGTCTATACAACCTCGTCGTATCAATGAGATCTACTCCAAATCCTCTCCTACTATCTACTATTGAGATACAACTACTAGGTACAATAGAGAGAGCATATCCATCGAGGACAAATCCTTCCAACCAGGGTATTTCCTGGATCTAACATCCCATCCATACACACCACATTGCTCCATCTCGGAAGCCAAGTCCGAACCCCTTGTCACAGAGGATATAAACCATCCCCGATCGGTCCTCAAATCGTGAACCTCCTCCTCCTCCTCCTCCTCCTCCTCTTCCTGTTCCTCCACCCATCAACAAAACCCCCCCTTGTCCCAATAGCGAGACAAACATGCATAAACTCATGCAGGTACAGCCCCATCCAATGCAGCCACAAAATCCTTTGCACCTTTTCACGCAACAAACCCCCCAACAAAAGGCACATAGTAACAACTCCATTCTCAGAATCACATTGTATCATGCTATCTATTTTCCCGTTCCGTCATCTAGACCCCCTTGCGGAGTTTCTCTCTCTCTCTCTCTCTTTCTTCCCCCTTTTCATCCGGGTTTCCTGCCCGTAAAAAAAAAAAGATAACATGATGTATTTCCCCGTCCGTCTCTCGTCCCATCGATACAAAAAGACATCCCCCGTAATAATAAAGCCAACTTGCAGTTTCGTTGAGAAAAGTAGCGTTTCTCAAAGAGTTGGCCGAACCCGTCGCCTATTTCATTCCAATGTGCCCGTATCCACATAGTTCTTCGATATTATCCGCTCCGCCTGGATGTAAGAGAGTGGGAAGTGAGGCTTGTCGTGGTGGTGCCTTGGTTCCGGCATCTTTGGGCGGCTAAATTGCTGAGAATCCGACTGATTGGACCCCGTCAGGTACATCCCCCTGACATAGAAAAAGGGAGAAAAGAAAGGAGTAATAAAAGAAGAAAAGAAAAGGAATAGCAAAGATAAAAAAAAGCCGAAAGGCAGGACGGTACAAAGAGGGAAGCCTAGCGTCTCCTCTCGCCGGGACCGTATCCAAAGTATCCCGTCTCTTGGCTCTGGGCCTCGAGGTTGTGGATCTCGTCAAAGGACGAAGAATTGGTAGCCTCTGTGATGACGCTGCGCGAGGGAGAATACTCCTTGCCTTCGTCGGCACGCTGCTGCTGCCCTTGCTGATGTCGTCGGTTGTCCAACCTCTCGGCCGTTGTGATGGCCCTGCCGACGTGGTGAGAATAATGCATGTCGTGATCAATGGTCAAGCCGACATTCGTCCTCGTCGTCCTCGTCAACGGGTGTGAAGTTGCCGTGTTGTTGTTGTTGTCGTCGTCGTAGACGGGCTCGACGTGCTTCAGAGAGAAATCGTTGGGCCCGTAGGCTCCTCCTCGGCCGCTGGTGCGCTTGTTAGGCACGGGTCTGTTGTCTTCGGCGGCGTTGTATCTCGCGTGGGCGGAAGGGGCGCTGTGTGTGCGGCCTGTTGATTCGAAGCCGTGAATCTTCATGGCGCGCAGGAGGGGGCGGATGGTGGCGAGGCTGGAGGCGACGATGGCGACGCCGGGTTCGATGATGGTCCATATCATGACTGCTGTTGCCGAGACTGGTGTCACCGAGGGCGCATTAGATCCATTTCCCCTTGACGGATGGTGAGGGTGGGGGGGAGGGAGACATACAGAGCAAGTCATCAGTGTCTTGCAGTGTGCTGAGGTATTTGATTCTGATGATGGTGGCGATACTGGCACTATTCAAGGCCGGAATTAGCATATCTCGGGCGGGAAGCAGCATTCACAGGAGACAGAGAGGGTGCTTCTAAGGGGGAGGCTCATACAAGATGCCCAGACCGAGAATCAGAATGACGGTTGCTTTGGCCTGGCTCGTCATCTTGACCGACCACAGCATTGGGATAGGAAGAAGCGCCTGGAAGAGAGTAAGTAAGACACGGGTTTCGAGTCAATAGTCAAGGGGGTTTATCAGAAACGAACTCACATATAACCAGTCAGACGCAATCGTCATGACACTGATGGCATACGCCGCAGCAATGATGTCGTCCGGCGACGCGCACGTGCCGCCCTGGATGCGAAAGTCCCACTGCTTCTGCACGGGGCTGCACTGGAAGATGTCGTAGAAGAAGATGGCGAGGCTCCAGATGGCGATGATGGCGAGGCTGATGCAGATGATGTAGTTGTAGACCTTGCGGGCGGAGACGCGCAGGAGGAAGATGCCGATGCTGAGCTTGATGAACATCATGTTGATGACATATGTGACGGTGGCCAATGCTTGCCACTGCGAGGGCGTGAGAAGCTATTCCTTTTTCTTTCTCTTGAGAGACCAAAGGTGTGAGAGAGAGACTCACCATGAGAGCCGAGATCTTCTTGTCGTCGTCCGCAATGGCGGCGTTATGCCTCCCCATGCCATCCTGGACACCGGCAAAGACGAACGCACACGAGAGCGTGAAAATCACCTGGGCCACGAGCATGAGCCAGTCATCCTCCTGCATGCCCTTGATCACCACGGCCCTCGTGTACGTCCTCAGCCCGACGGCCAGCCAGGACAGGGCGAGGAAGGCGATGCACGTGCCCACCAGGGGGCCGCCGTTGTAGTCGTTCACGTCGAGAGACTCATCGGCCATGACGATCCGACGTCCCAACCTTTTCGATCAAGACAGCTGACGACCGGCATAGCAACACGACGGCTGCAGAGAAGGTGGGGGGAAGAGAGAGCGTAAAGTAAGTAGGAGGAGAAATTGCAAGAGATGATGGCGGGATGGGCTCTTAGAAGAGCATCTGCGGAAGGGGATGTAAAGCGAGCGGCTGGTGCTATCACCGAGGTGGCGCTCCCAAAGGGAAAAGAAGAAATCGAAACGAAGGCAAGTGTGCCAAGGGCAGGGGAGAAGAAGAAGAAGAAGAAGAAGTAGGGTAACAAGCACACAGCGTCGAAACTAGCCAAAGGTGACGAAGGTAGCGAGCAGCGGCGGGTGCTATATCTACAACCGGGGGGCACCAAAGAAACCCAAGCAGGGCCACCAACACCGGATAGGTTTGTCCTTGGGGAGAGAGAGAGACAAGGGGACGAACGAGTCACAGAGCCAGATCGACAGCCAGGATATTATCAAACTCGACCGTCTCGCCGTCCAGATGGGGATATCACAGCCGGGGAAAAGCTCCTCTGTTTGCCCCCCCCCCCTCTCCGTCTGTCATTTCAAGGAAGAGAGAGAGCAGCCATGTCGGGCATCTTCTCATTTTGCTTCTTCTTCTCCTCCGTTTGCGAGTCAACACCCCCCCGCCCCGGAGCCGAGCGAGCTGACCAGATGGAACTGGCTTCAGCGATCAACGGCAAGGATTTGACTTGCAGGCGCCGGCTCGGAACGTCCATGAGCAAACGAAAACGCGTAACCGTACACCGGCAAGAGAAGAGGGGACGGACGGACTCCATCGACTCCAGTCACCTTCTTTGCTACTAACCAAGCACACACACACACACACATACACACGCAATCCCAAGGCAGCAAATCAAACCCCTCCCAGCAGCTTCGCTAAAGAAAATCCAAGTGGTCCCCCTTGAACCCGCGACGTGAACAAATGGGCACCAAAACGGGCCGCCTTTCCTCGCGCGAAAAGGGATCTTCGTTCGCCAGAGAAAGAGAAGCTTGCGGCGCGATAGGACAGATGGGGGAAGTGTGATGATGATGTCGACATGGGAGGGAGGGGGCGTTACTGGTTGAACTCGAACTCGCAAGCGGCTGGGCCTAGACGGACCAGTCAAGTGTCGACGACAACATGCAAAGATGCATCAAAGTTGAAAGTTGTTGACCCGCAGCGAATGGTGGCCACCCCCCCTGCCCCCCTGTCACTGTCCGGCGCTGCAGCAGCATCTGAGACATGCGTCCATCGGATCTAGAAGAAAGGGCATATCGTCCGATGGGGCCAGGGCACACAACATCAAGTATGGCAGGTCGTCGCAGCCGAGTGTAACTGGACGAGGATACCTGTACCACGGACGAGGATCGTCTCCAACGGTGGGCTGCATAGATTGCATCTCATGATGGAAAGAAGGCTTGCGGGTAGCGGGTAAAGAAAGACAACAAGACACAGAAAAGAGAGCGCAAACTCGCACCAGAACGCGGACAAATACCTACTGTATGTTCATTTCAATCATCTCGGCACACAGCTTGTCACAGCTCCTGTTCGTGGCGTCTCAACGGTCCAACTGACCCTTGCCAATGGCACGCAGCTCATCACACGAGTAACGTATTGTAGTATTCGAAGCGGTTGCTGTGCTTGTGTCGTTGCGTGGTGAATCGGCCATTGATTCGATCGCATTCCCTGTCGCTGCATCTCGCACTTGGTCCAAGTAAGCTTAGGACGACACGGAACAGACAAGGGGGGGGGAAGTTATCAACAACTCCAACCCACCCAAGCAATGCGCAAAAGGTCCCTTTCTTCCTTCAACTTCGCAAAACTGCAACCCTTCTTCGGGTCCGGCAGCGGGAATCGGCGAGGAGGAAGCAAATGCCCAACTGGCACAGGTCTTGACAAGGCACCTCCTATTGCTGCCACCCCCCCTTGGCCTTCCTTACCTTGATAACGGCAAAGGGGATGCAGAAACGGGAGGCCGTGGTTGGTCGGGGTCGCATCAGCACCCATGGTTTGCAACCGGCGAATAGAAGCGCGCAGTGGCACGACGCGGGTGATTTGGCTCATGAGCACTGCCGAGCCACTCAAACTGCCATCAGACTCTATAATCGCCTGGATTGGTTTGATGAATTTGATGGTGGAGAGGAGACCAGCGGTGACGGTCTTGACCAGGAGAAGAGCAAGGGAAGAGCGCTTGCAAAGAAGATTCTCGTCCATCGTCTCTTTGGCCTTTCTGGACTCTGACTCGTTGCTTGATTTTCCCTTTCATTTCAATTCGGACAAACACACGCAGCTGACTGGACGAAACGCCACATGGCAATCACACATCTCGGCAATCAGACAAGAAGGAACATGGAGGAAGCACATTTCGGCAATCAGAGAAGAGAAAAAAATCAGGGCATCACGAGTTTGTCACAGACGAATCTTTTGCCTCTGTTTGTGTCGTTGATCGGAGATTAAATATCCGCTTCCCACATTGTTTTTTTCTTCTTCTTCTTACAAACCCAGGCGCATATTGGTTTTTCCCAGCGGCCTGGGCTTCGGTAGTCAAGGTAAGGTAAAAAAAGGCAAGGTAAAAAAAGGCAGGGAAAGACTGTTTGTTACACCGCGGCAAACACACAAAAGTGGATAAGCATGAAGAAAAGTTGCCAGATGAGGAAAACATGGATCATTGCATACAACAAGAAGTTCACGGAGAATTTCGGCATTTGGTCAATGTGATGAGAAAAAAAGCTCGGCATTGGTGATTGTGATGAGAAAAGAAAGGAAAAGGAGGACAAGAGGTTGCCCGTTCAAGCGGACCCGGGAAGCTGAACTGAGACATGTAACCTCGGAGTCACGTTGCGTTGCCTCTGACGGCCCCGGCGGGTGAGCATCTCGGTAAGGCAAAGGTAAGGTAGCTTATAGATAGATACCCTTGGGTAGACGGCACTTTAGGTATGCTCTGAGGGTCACCACCAATTGATGGTGCCCGTGTAAAAAACGGGAGGGTTGGTCACCATGCCCGGTGGGTGTTACAGAAATTGCGTAGATGGGAGCTGTCAAACCCGGTGGATCACGTTGCACGAAGAAGAAGCCAGGATCAAGGCTCGACGATCTATCTATCAAGAGCCTGATATGGGATGGACATGCAGAGGTGTGTTGAACCATGGCAGGCAATATCAGCTGCAAGGCCCTTCCACAGCAAATAGCCTGGCTGAGGCGGCCTTTACGGGAATTGCAAACAGCTCTCAATGAACAAACAAAACATTTCACTCTACAGTTCTCTCTTCACTTGGAAAGCTTCATTGTCTTCATCTTCTCTCGCATTGTGCTCACCAGCCAAAGGGGGGGAACTGTTTGCAACATCCAACCTCCCATCAAGCCCACAAACTGCCACCTTATCGCTCCCATTGCTGAGGAAAAGAAAAAAGCCACTCTCGAGGCACTTCAGAAGACCCCCTTTTTATTCTAACCGTAAAGCCACACAGGTCGTCCTCCGCCTCCAAAATGAAAGGATTGTGTTCAAACGGTCTACCCAGGAAAATTCACAATCATAAGTACAAGACGCCGTTATATACCCTGACTGAATACACACAAAAGGTGACGAGGAAAAAGGGGAAAAAAGGTAGGGAATACAAGAAAGATATTAATGCCCCCAGTGTCCCTATGAATGTGAAACAGAAGAATGAACAAAAAGCTATGTATGGGTGGTAGGTAAAGAAAAGGATTTTTCTACAATGCAGCAGATATCGATATATCTGATATGTCGTGATGCAAGTTGATGCAGCGAGCCATTGAGCAAAAGGATCAAGGAGAGTCGAGACATCGTCCCCGGTTATAGGGAGACAAGTTCGTTCGTTCGTTATTCGGACGGGTCGTAGTGCCAGCGCAGGCTGTTCTCCTCAACCCACCACCGCGCCACAAACGCAGCTTGCTCCGCCCAGTGCGCCGCCTCCACCGACCTCTCCTGCTCAATCTTGTGCAGGAAGCCGGGAAAGTCAAAGGCAACGAGATGCTTCTCCTCGTGGGGCTCCGTGTCCAGGTCCGTGAAGCGCCACTCGGTGTTCTCGATGATGGGCACCGTCAGCCTCCAGTGCGGCTCGCGGCTGTCACGGACGGCAACGGTGGCTCGGCCGGGGTTCATGACGCTAAACTGCCAGTTGGGCTGGCCCGTCTTGTCGTTGACGTTGATGAGCGATCGCAGCATGGACTGTCCTTCGTAGTTGTCAATCATGTCCTTTGCAATCTGCGTCTGCGATGACGAGAGCGAGCCCGTCTCCAACAGCAGGTCGAGAATCGTGGGCAGGATCTGGTAGGAAATGACCGCATCGTCGATGTCGATGGCAGGCAGCTGAGGGTGGGAAAAGACCAGCGGCACGTGGAAGTTGCCAATGTTGGTGTTGTAGTACGGCGTGATGCCGTCGTTTTCCGGCACCGAGAGGCCGTGGTCGCCGACAAAGACGACCAGCGTCTCATCCGCGACTCCTTGCTCGTCAAGAATATCCAGAATCTTCTGGAGCCAGCGGTCGACAAACCCAATGGCGTTGAGGTACTTGGACACGTTGTCCAGCTTGGAGCCCTCCTCGCTGGTGATAGGGACGTGCTCGACGTCGTCCGGCAGCCCAAAGGGATGATGCGTGGTGCTGGTCAGGTGCGTCAGGAACACTCGCTCCTTGTTCTCCTTGGCCGTCTTGAACGCATCGCGGACATAGTCCTCGATGACGTACTCGGGCATTCCGTAGTAGTTGATGTCTTCAACGTCCACCTTGCCAAACTTGGCGTCGTCACTCTTGAGATACTCCTTGGAGACGGTATTGTTCCGCGGGAAGCCGAGCTGCACCATGAGCTGATCCTGCTTGTCGAATCCATTCGTCACCGACATCATAAAGGACGACTTCCACTTGTGCGAAGTAAAGTCGTCCTTGTCGCCGTCCTTTTTAAGACCGAGGTTCATGGCGTCAAAAATGTGCGGCAAGCAGGGCTGGTAGATGTGATGCGACACCTCGGCGTTGAAGTCGGCGACCAGTGGCGACAGTCCGCAAAGCGTGCCCGTCAGACTCTTGAGCGTGTAGCTAGCCGATGTGTGGCAGTTGTTGGCGTTGAGTCCACCTCGTCGCTTCTTCTCCTTGTGCTCGAAGCCGTCCTCGTAGTCTCCCGTCAAGAAATTGGCGGTGGGGGTGAGCGTGGATATCTTCTTCTCGGCCGTCTCGGGCAGTGTGCCGTTCTCAAACGAGTCAACCGCAAGCTTATAGAACAGGCCATCCTTCTTGACGGGGAAAGCATCCTTTCTCGTGCTTTCGAGCTTGATGAGCACCACGTTCTTGATTGTGATGTTGGCCAGCTTGTCGCGGAGCCCCGGGAGGACGTCGTTCTTCAGGTTGGAAATCTTCAGGGGATCCTGGGCAGCACGGTAGTGCGTCTCCTCTGCCGTGTACCAGTCTTGGAACCCTGGGAGAGGGTCCTTTGGCAGCCACTCCCACCGAATAGGCTCCACCAGCGCGGTGCGGTTGTCCCAGTTCCAGCCAATGCTCACGTCGTAGACGGGGGTGAGCGCAGCCAGAATGGGCGACGAGTGGGCGAAATCCGCAAAGGGCAGCAGCGGCAAGGTCCACGACATGTAGGTATAAGAGCCTTCGCTCGGCCGGATGATGTACAGCAGGACTTGGAGGAACAGGGTGAAGCCGACCAGAACATAGAGGGCAGTCGTCCATCTCGTATGCCGGCGCACGTCGGAGACAACGCTGGAACCGCTGGAGCCGCTGGCGCCGCTGGAGTCGATGTCGTCGTCCTCCTTGCCCATGAGCTCAGATCCCCCCTCGACGTCCTGCTGCGGGACATGAGTATATCTGACGTTGGCTGCGGGGCGCATGCGAGCCGGGAGCTTGCCGTACACAAAGGCAAAGGGCCACTTGAGAATGTTCAGGGCGAGGCCGGCCAGGTAGTAGAAGATGTCCTGCGTGACCCAGCTGATGCCGAGGATGATTGCCAAGACAATTAAGCACGTGAACAACCCCGTCACTGCCAGCTTCCACGACGAGGCGTTGCTAGCCAAGCCAGCATTGCGCCAGTGGGGCTCGGAGCCCGCGACGACAAAGAAGGAGTTGTTGATGGCCGCCAGGGTCAGCACAATCGTGACGAGGAGCGTCGCCAGGGACGTGAGGACGATGCGCAGCCACCGCCAAGGGTATATCTCCGTGTCGAGCAGCAGTCGTATTAATATTAAGAAGGCGGTATCTTGTGTGAAGAATGTGAGGCCCCAGCGCGCGAGGGAGCGGAAGGCAAGCGCCGTGATATGGGCATATATGTGCACCAGCTTGCCGCTGGTTATGGCGACGACGCATATGGCGAAGAGGAACTGCCGGTTTGCGAATCGAGCAAAGAAGGCAGACAGAATCCGCAGGACGGGCGCGGCAACGACTGTGACCCTCGAGGTAGCGGAATTCAGGTGCCTCCGTGTCGGGCTGGAGAAGCGCATGCCAGACGCCATGCCGCTGGCGAAGCGGCGCGTCGATTCCATCGCGAGATGATGCAAGGGTAATGGAGAGTCGAGGTCGGGATGAGGTCGGAATCGGAGTCGGAGTCGATCGGTAAGGGTCGAGGTCGAGATCAGGGTCGAGGTCGAGATCTAGGTCGAGGTCGAGATCTAGGTCGAGGACAAGACGGAAAGGGGCGAAGGCGACAGAGTCAAGCGAGAGGCACACAGGGCTACCACCAAGTGACGCTTCTCATATCCAACGCGCCGCTGTTGAAGCGGTAAAGAAGAGCCTTTTGTCGTCTCTTTTTTTTTTTCCCAAGCTTCTTTCTTTTTTCCCAAAATCCCACCCCTAGCTGACGGGGGATCACGAGACAGGCCTCCGTCTCCGTCTCGCAACAGCGCCGCGGAGCAAACGACAAGAAACGAACGGCGCGAAACAAAGGCGGCTGGCCGGGAAGCGAACGAAGTCGAAACGAGGCCGCGAACAGACAAAAAGGTCGGCGCTGTGCGAGCCCGCCAAAACCGGACAAACGATAGGAATGGAATGGAGTGATGTATTACAAGAGACCGAGGGTGGCAGATGAGGATCAAAATGGGCGCCTCAGACAAAAGTTCTGCCAGCGCCGCAGGGCTTTTCCCCCCTTGTCGCCCCGAGTCGCTTCCTCCGTGCCCCGTACAGTTAGCGCCAAGTACCGGTACTTGCGCCGTCAGTGTCGCGTGCCTGCAATACCGTTAGAGGGCAGCGCCCCCGCAGCAGCCCGCCACGCCACGCCAATGACTTCCCGAGAATGGTCGCGGCTCCTCTCTGGCGTCGCGGTGACTTGGGGCTAGCGCCGCCTCGTTGCTGCTGCTGAGGTAGCGGTACTTGCTGCGCCTTCTGAGTCCCTGTACCAGCTGGATTTGGGGCCGGCAAAACCCCCCCTTTATTTCTACGCTTGTACGCCTCGCACTGTCCTGCAAGGATGCCGCTCCGCAAGTACCGGATACAGGCAGCACTGTGTGCGCCAGGCCAGGATGTCTTCATCCATCGTCAATGCTCGACCTCATCCACTCCGCAGCTATTGTCAGAGGGAGGGGATGCCAACAACAACATGACGAGTTAGTCTGCAAGAGGCAACGCAGAGGCGAAATCCAGCCTTGATCCCCGGCCACCGCTGAACAGTGCTGTTCGTATGGCGAGCTGTTCTTGCTGTTGGTGGTCTTGTCGCATGAGGGATGACATGCGGGTTCTGTCTGCATCAGAAAACAAAGTGTGGGGAAGTGAGCAGAATGAAACACAAGTGACATGGGACAGGTCGTACAGAAGCATGGCTGTGTGACGATGGAGTCTCCAACAGCACAGCCTGATGGGGATGGACGCTGCTCAGTAATCCCCATGGTGACATTGGATCATCAGACGTAGCACCAGAATAGCAGCTTGGTGCTAGTACATAGTACTGTAGTCCAGATGATACGAGCGAGACGACGCTTCCTTCGTATTGAAATAGAACAGATCTAGACCTGGCCTCGGCATCATATCTGCAGTGCGCTGACCAAGAATGGCTGCCCACCAATGTCATCGCATGTTAAGGTAGTGCTACTTCGACATTGACTTTTGACGCTCCGTCGCCTGTCGTTGGCCAACGAGTCGTTACCTAATATTACGAAATTAGCAGCATCTAGCAGAGCCCAATAGCGCAGGTTGACATTGATGATCGAATCGATAGAGGCCATCCTGCAACGGACGGTTGCACCGGCAGTGGGTCGGGGCGAGAGCCTCGAGACTGAGACAACTCGCACCATGGCTGTGTGTCTGTGTTTCATCTGCTGCGGTTGAGTCTCTCGACGGATCTGCATCAAGCCTGGCCCAGACGACGCTCACCTTTGGCGCTCTTGGCGCTGCCGGCGCGGGTACAGGCACTTGATACTTGGTGCTTCTAGTAACTCATGATCAGAACCTGGCATGATGACATGCGATGGGACCTTGTGGTTTATCGAGCGCTTCTTAAATTTCATGCTTGCTGCTTTGCCGTTGCCGCGCTGAACAATGGGAGCAAGGAGGAGGTCGATGCTGACACAGTTGAGATGCCATAACGGACACTGTCTAGAAAAGCTTGGCCTCGAGCTAAAACCAGAACAGCAGCCCATGCATTTGACAGCTGAGTCAGGCCTTCACTGCGACTTGTCTCGCCTCCACTCCGATTTTTCGTTCACTGTACGAGAACTCACAATCTTCAAGTCCAAGTGCTCGGCGCCACCGATTACCTTCGAGCCGCAATGGCGCTGTGTATTGTGTCTGTCGCTGTTCTACTACAAGCGGCAAAGAGTCACGCGACAGCATAATCACTACTCTATAAACCCAATTACGCTCGAATCCTTGCCAATTCGATCTCAGCTCATCAAGCCAGGCCAGTCACCGCCAATGTACCCGTCACATCATGGGGCCCCCTATTAAGTACCTACTAGGTAGAAGCTGCACCGCTCCCAGATTTCCCCTATTCCGGATTTTGCAATGTCTCAATTTCACCCTGCTGCATCGTTCGCTTCCCACCTGCCGAATTACTCGCATGCGACTTTATTCCCGGCCACCAGCGATGGCGGGAAAAGTACCTGTACAGGCCATTTTCTCGAAGCGGGACAAGGAGATTCGGCGCTCGGTCAGCTCCTCAGGCCTAGTTCCGGGGCTATTTGGCTGCCCAAGGAGCGCTGTAAGTCGATGTACCGATTACCTTCAGTGCCTTGATGGTTCCAGCTACAGGCGCTGCTTCGCTAGCCGCGTTCTCGAAGCCCTCTAGCGATCCGTTACCCCGTATTTCTCGCTCAGCTGTTCGACCCTGCAAAAATAGCCTCATGTTCCTGGCGGCTGAGAGAGACGAGCCTCAATCAGCACCTTGTCCTAGGTACTATTCTGTCATCCTTCACCTTCTTCTTTGAGTCTCCAAACTAACAGGAAAAAGAAAAGAACAACAAAACCAGAAACAAAAAGCAAAGGAAAAGGCCTGGCTCAACCTCCTTCGTACCCAGGCTCATGTTCGCGTAGTACGAGTTACTGCCACCCTCAACTCCGTATCTGCAACCCCCGCCTCCTTCTTCCCCCTCACCAACTGCACAGTCAGTGGAAATCCTTCCCATCCCCTGCAGGACAGTCACAAGTGCAAGACAGTCACAAAGAGTCAATCGAAGCCTACGATGGCGTACTCCGCAGACATTCCCGGCCTCACGTACGCCAGCCACCAGTACGGCCAGCACAACCTCCAGCGAGTTGGCGTCTGGCAGTATGCGGACGCGCCTGAAGCGGCACTCTCAACACCGTCGTATTGGATCATGTACGTGACTGCTGGTGGCTGACGTCAATCCCGTTGCGGCTATCTTTGACATCTTGTACGTGGATCCTGACTCCATCTCCGAACCCTGACAGCTTCGTCCACGGAGGCGGGTGGCGAGACCCCAGAAACACCCTCCATGACTTTGTGCCGTCCATCAAGCACATGCTCGCCCTGCCCGACCTGCCCCAGTCTGCGGTCCGCGGCTTCGCCAGCATCGACTACCGGCTGTCGCCGCACCCGCAATTCCCCCAGGATCCCGCTTCGACGCCGGCGAATGAGCTGCGCCAGGCCCTGCATCCCGAGCATGTCCGAGACGTCCTGGCCGCGCTGAGGCTGCTTGATGCCGAGTACAGCATCGGGAGCAACTACGTGCTAATAGGCCACTCAGCCGGTGGAACGCTGGTCCATCAGGTCATCATGAACAACGACGCTTCATGTGCCTGGGGCCCGGCCGCGCCGCTGCCAGCAGCCCTCATCAGCATCTCGGGCATCCACGACCTAAGAGGCCTCGCCGAGAGGCATGGCGGGGTGTATGAGACATTCACCGCCGGCGCCTTTGGTCCAGACAAGCAGGCTTGGGACGCAGCGTCGCCGGCAAAGTGTGCTGGAAGCTTCAAGACCCTGTGGCCGAACGAGCCTCGCCTGGTCATCCTGGCATCTTCCGCAGAGGACACCCTCATCGAAGTAGCCGAGCTTGACATCATGGAAGACAAGCTTGTCAAGGACGGCATCACGCCGATAGCCATCAGGGACCTCCGCCTTGAGCACGACAACATCTGGGAGGACGGCGCGCAGGTTGCGGCTCTTGCAGCAAAGGCCGTCGCAAAGTTGCGGCAACACTGAGCCATCGTCCAGCACCAAGCGGTTAAAAAAACTAGTTTGATTCTATTCGTCATTATTATACTATCAACTGTCCGAAGACAATGTTTTCCATGGTCAACTATGTTCCGATATCGGCACACCTACATATTGGTCACTTTTCACCGTGAAATGGTATCCTTCTCTTCTTGTCCCTTTGCATTCTTCCCCGCTGTTCTATTCGTCCCCATATCGGTCCCCCTTTTCCGATCGATCACTCCTTCGGCAATTGCTTCACCGACTGGCTAGATCTTGACCAGTCTCCATCCGGTCACGGAGATGCGACACGCTACAAAGATGATTGCCGCAGCAGCCATGACGGTTCCTCCCCATATCTGCGCCCAGAAAAAGTCCCCGTTGTTGTGATCGATGATGGCCCCGGCCGTCGGCGCCCCGGCCACCGTCGCCAGCGAGCACAGCGTTTCTACCATGCCGAACCGGATGCCCATCTTCTGCGGGTCCTTGGTCAGGCTCGTCAGGGAAGCGACAAACGTGCCCTGGTTGGTGCCGATGGTCAAGCCGTAGAAGACGCTGAAGACGTACATGCCCGTCCGAGACTTGACTCCGATCCAAGAGTATATGAGGGCGCTCACGGCGAGAGTGGCGGTGGTGAATAGGTTGATGGGGCCTGTGTATCGGTCCGCGACGAATCCTGCAACTGGCCGCGCGGGAATGCCCATGGCATTTGTGATGAGCAGGAGGTTGATGGCATCCTGGTCTGAGAAGCCAATGATGTTACGGGCGTAACTGTTGATCTGGAGAAAGGGTTAACGACGACTATCTTCATGGCATGCGGTGCTGATCTTGCGGATTCACGACTTTGACTTTACAAAAGCGTCGAAAATGGGC